CCACTTTTCATACCTTACGGAGCTCCTGTGCGGTTTCCTGAAGTCAGCAGGACCACACATCTAAGTGCAGCCCTCCAGGATGAGTAATGGCAGCAGGGTCGAGGAGGTTCTGCATACGTTTGTTTTCACTTAGCTCTTTTCAGGCATGTAAGCAAACTACAGTAGCTGCTAAAATGGTATTAGTATCAACCTTTATCTGTTCATCCTCGAACTACATGGTAGAGCACTGCTTTTTATATATCATCATGATGTAGTGGGAGCTGGAGGAAAAACACTATTTCTTTCCTCATCTTAATGGCAGCTTAATACTTGGAGATGTAATCATCACTAGAGAGAGACAATAAGACAGCGTATGTGTAACAACAGTTAAATAAATCAGAATGAAAAGACACATTTGGTCCTTCGTTTCCTCTCCTCCACTCCTATAACGCAACAACATTCCCTGCAGCACAGTTTCTAATGACAGCCAATGCAATGAGCATCCCACTCCTTCATTTGGGAAGCTACCAGTTTAGCAGAACTCACACGTAGCATGTTTGACATACCCAGGCTGGGCTGCAAGCAATATGACCTAGCAACCTCTTTCTGAAGTGTGGTCTACAGATGAAGTTATTAACATAAACTACACAACACAAGTAGCTCCGCCTATGCAAAAACCATGCAAAGACAACAAGAAGCACAGAAGTCTTAAGTATTCACCAGACAGCTGTAAAAACCTGTAGAAAATAGAGTACATATGGAAAAAAACAAAAACAAAAACAAAAACAAAAAACAAAACACACACAGAAAAACACCCTTCTTTATTATTGTTTAAAGGGAGGTTTATAAACAGATGTATAACTTGTACTACGAAGTTGCAGATGTAGGGAAAACACAAGCACACAAATGACACAAATGTATAAACAGGTAGATTTCCCACTACTGGGACATGAAGAAAACTTTAGCTTAGTAAGGGCAGTGGGTTTATTCAGCAACTTAGTATAAATTGTCATAATTAAGAAGTGACAAGTAATTTACACTCATTGAAGTAACTTGAGCTTTGTCTACCCTCTTTCCACATGCCAAACAAAAAAAAGCTGAAAAAAGAACCTATAAATTATTTGTAATGTACACTTTCTCCTTGAGCCTTGAAAACATCTAAGCTTAAAAAAAAATCATAATCTCAAACTGATTTACTATTTTGCTGGAATATGTATCAATATTTTCTTACCACTTATACAATTCAGGAGAACATCAACAGGATTAGGCTGACAAGAATAAACATACCAGCCTTGTTTTTACTTCTGTATCCCTTCACAGACATTTCCAAATCCATTTGGGTTTGTTGACTTTCAGATTTCCAAGTTATTCACAAAAAACAAACAAACAAAAAAAAAAAAAAACAGCTTTTGGTAGCACAGAAATTCTAAAGAAAACACAAAGCAACAACTTTCAAAAATGTATGTCTTTCCCAAATGTTAATACACTTCTGAAGATAATCTATGGTCCTTTTAAGACTATTACTTTGTAAGTCAGACTGTATTTTCAAATGTTACTGTAAGACTGAAAAACACCTAGTAGGGTACATGCTCAGCAATCCCTAGCTTCCGTGCAGATTTTTTTCCTAATTGCATTTTACCAGCTAAGGCTTTTGCACCAATTTCACCTGTATGGATCCAGCGATGCTTTTGCCATACTGCATCACTGCACCCACCGGAGAGCAGAGTGGTGCTGATGAAAACAGCTTTATGAGACCTCATCCTTCTGCTACACCTGTGTTCTGGTTTTGTATCGACATCCATGCCCTTTTTAAAAAGCTGAAAAACATGTGTGCACACACACACAAAGCCTGCGGGAAGAGCTGCCAATCAATAAAGAAATGCATCAAACCTCCCATTCTCTGGCAAACTCAGCTTGTGAGTTAGCACTGGCTCCTGTTGAGGAAATGTTTTGCTACGTAAAGCCATATATGAATTTTACATACGCAAACTCCCAAACTTGCCTGTATGGCAAGTACATGATTGTTTGTGCAAGTAACTGCACTTGAAAGTTAGGAGGTCACCTTTTTCTTGCTTCAGTGGTGTCTGTCACTCTTGGCCACAAACAGAAGATAAACATGCAGAGAGAGAAAAATCAGACTGCTACCCATTTAAAACTCTTTCCCTGACCTTAATCAAGAGGTAACATATTAGCAAGCTCTGTAAGACAGTCAACTTCAAACGTGTAAAATGGCCTTTGAAACTGAGTGCTATTATTTGCATTTGCAATTGCTTCCACTCAGCAGCAATCTGACTGCATAGGTACTTTCCTTAGCCAGACATCTCGGCTGATTACAGTGGCAGAGGTAGACATCTGCACTTACACTTTTGTGCTCATATTGTTAGAACCAATGTCAGAGCCCAATGACCCCACATGCCGAAACAAGCAGGCTGAAAATCCACTGCCAAGCTGTACTGATAACTTTCCTTGAATTTCTGGAGCAGGCTCTCACTCTCCCTCCTTCCCAAAGCTGACTAACAGAAAGAAGTAAGGAAAATGATATTCCATTAAAGGAGGGCATCAATGTAGCTGCTAAAGGCTGAATGGGATTAAAAAGAAAGTTGAAAGCCAGAGCCTTTGCAGAACAACATTTCTGTAAGTGTCACTGTTGGGCATTCTCTTTTTACAGAGGCTGCCAGCCACGTTCAAGTATAACAGGAAACCCTAAGGTTTTATCCTCTCAGCACACACTTAACAAGGTATTTCAGATTACAGCCATTAATATGACAGCGCTGCATACAGATAAAGAAGTGCAACTTGTCAGAGAAGCGTGAGCAAACAGTGAGGAAAAGACTTTAAAACTTTGATATGGAGACCTACAGAGAGCACGTGCAGAAGCATGACTGCTTTGGCTACCCTCTAGAATTAGCTGTGCTGGAAAGGAAAGGATCCCGAAACCCACCTCTGAAAGCATCACACCAACCAGCCCCTGTTAAACCTAACATCTTCCTCTTATACTGGAAAACTGCTGCCCCAGAGCTAAACACAGTCCTTGAGGGCAATACAGCAAAAGGGAGGACACTATGTTCCCTGACATGCCTTGAAAACCACTTTTGAAAACCACGGCTCTGCATTTGCCTACCGGAAGAGGCCATGGGAAAATGCTGGGATTTACTCTGAGGGGAGTCTTTCTGCTCCTTTATTTATTTATTTCTCAGTAAGTTGAAGCATGTGGAAAGACATTACAAATTGAACTAAGTTTCTAAGAACACATAGGTACCACAGAGAATAGAAGTGGTAACTTATTTACAGCCTTCACAAACGCATTTTCTTTTTCTCCACCTTGCAAGGGGCTCAAGCTGCCAGAGCTCCGAACTGGATTTCACACTCCCCTCAACCTATTCAATTCTAAAATCTCAGGTGTGTTCACACTGGGGTTTTGAATCAGACCCGTATCTAATAGTCATTCCCAAGCAATTCTCAGAGCCTGCCTGCAGATCTCAGCCACTATAAAATACAAAAGGGAAAAAGTCAAGATAAGCAACCAGGAAATTGGCCCCAACTCCTGAACTTTTCAGTACAATGTAATAAACAAGTTTCATTTTCAACAATAATGACCTTGCACAGTGCTGCTTAAAAGTCCCTGCTCTGAAAGGTTTTCTCTAAACAAAGCTTTTCAAGTCCTTTGTTTAAGCATCACTGTAATCCAGATTGTAAACCACACTCTTATTAAAAAGAAGGCCCATAACCATTCTCAGAAACCAAGTATTACACAACCTTGGCAGCCCAGTTCAAGCAGCAAATAACAAGGAGAAAAGTAATGACTGTTAGGAAAAAGGTATCACCGCTGTCTGATGACTAGGAATGGGAGTCAACTCCCCAACCCCTGCTTGATCCTTGCAAGATAGAAGTTTCACTGTTAACAGCAGACGAAGGGAACAAATGCAATGCTGGAAATTCTCATAAAATCTACTTCACCACCAAGCAGCATCATTTCCAGTAGTACTTTTTACTGTAAATACCACAAGAATTAGTAAAGATCAGCCCCCTCATTTAAAAATGTTACAGTATCACAGAACAAGAAAGGTCATGTTTGAGGGGAATATTTTACAGCACTGCAGAAGTTGCATTAACACAGAAATGAAAAGGGGAGGGAGAGGCCCAAAACACCCTCCGAGAAAGCATTTCGAGACCACCACGTCACTTCAAATGACAGAAGGGCCCACAAAATGACTTTCTGCTTTGGCCCTTACCATGAACTCCTCCAGCGTCTGGTAGGTTTTCCCCCGAAACTCACAGTAGTTCTTCCTCTCCTTGCACTGCGGGCAGCACTGCGTGGTGTCCACATGAACGCACCGAGGGTGGAGCCTGGGGCACTCGGGCTGTATGCACAGCGGTCCCTCTTCAGTGCAAAGGCAGGGGCAGGCGGAGGGACCCGGCGCAAACTTCTCCCCAATGGCGTAGACGAAGCCACTCTCGTCCACGCAGCCCTTCCCACGGTAGTCCGGGTAGGCATACTCCTCCGGAGGCTCAGGAGTAGCGCTTGCCACAGCGGCCGGGAGAGATGAGTCTTCAACCACCCGAGGGTCCTCGGCAGCCACGTCCCTTTGCTCTTGGACTTGAATGCTCCCGGATTTACCTCCTGTGCCCTGGCTATTCCAAGCCTGCTTTTGCTTAGTCCACGACTCCTTGTTCGAGTAGGTCCTGCTTCCTTTGCTCTTCCAGTCCCTGGTGCCCTCCTCCCTCCCGCTCCTGCCGATCTCATTCATCTTCCCCGGGCCTGTCTGGCTGTCCCTTGTCGATGTGTGATCCCTCTTTTCCTGGCTCGCTTTTATCTCCTGTTTGTCTTGAGCCTTGGCCAGTTTCTGCACGGGTATGGTGGAGCTACAGAGGGCAACCATGAGGCAGCAGGTTACGAGGAGCGAGCTAGAGAGAGCTCCAATTGCCATTGCAGTAGAGCTGGGCATCACCTACTGCATCCCACAGGGGACACTGCATTCACATCGGAGGGAAGCGCTCCGCAGATCCACAGTCCCTAGGAAGAGAGGGATTAGGAACACTTCAGCTCGCGCCTCTCCCCCCCCTCGCGCATCCAACATCTCAAACAACACGCAGCCTGCCTCGGCACCTCACGCCAGAGGCAAACAACAGCCTGGTGCTGCATCCCTCCTCCAGCCCGGCTCTGCGATGTCTCATAAATAGCAGGGCTGTGGGCACGGACTGTCTTCGGCTGGGTACAAGCAGGACGCGCAGCTCGGGGCAGCCTGCCGAGGCTCGGGGCGCCGTGGGGTGACGGCCACACGCCGAATGAAGCGGAGCTCCCCAAAACGCAGCGCGGTCCGGAGCCGACATCAGCCGGTTGAGCCCTGCTTGCTGACTGCACGCCCGATGGTTTTCACTAACCTCTTATTCAGAGTGAAGTTTTTTGTTTGTTTGTTTGTTTGTTGGTTTTTTTTTTTTTTGGCTTCATACCCACCGGGGGGGGGGGACGTTTGTTTGAGGGACAACTAAGAGCGAGCCCGCTAAAGCGCGCAGAGCCGAGCCGCCCCTCTCCTCAACTCCCCGCACAAGCACACATCTCCTCCTCTTCCTCCTCCACCTCCTCCTCCTCCTCCTCCTCCCCGTGCTCCCGAGGCCAGGCAGAGCCCCTCGGAGCTCCTGCAGAGGGGCACGTTTCACCCGCACCCCCCGCACTTTAGCAGCGCTCCCGGCTCCCGCACCGCCAACCGGCAAAGCAAAGCACACCAAAATACCTGCTCCGGCCACGGGAAGCCAAGGCGCTGCCAGCTGCCGGCGCAGCCCCGCGGCCGAGGTAGGGCTCCCCGGAGCCATTTAAGAGCCCCCCCCTCCTTCCTCCATCCCTCCCCGCCCGCCTCCGGAGCCCCGCGGGCCCTGCCCCAAACTTTCCGGCGGGCCGGGCAGCGCCGCCCCGGCCCCCTCGGGGGGCTCTGCTGGGCGCCGGGCAGCCCCCAGCCCGCCCGCAGCATCCCTCCCTCCCTACCTGCGGGCTCGGCTCCGGGGCCCCCGGCCGGCTGCCATGGCGGGGCTGCGGGCTGCCTGCCCTCCTTCCTCCCTCCCCTCCTTCCTTGCCTCTCTCCCTGCCTCCCTCCCTCAGCCGGAGCCGAGGCCCCGCCGCCCCTGGGGGCGGGCTCGCCGCGGCCCCGGTGCCATCAGATGGCGGCCGGGGTTTTTTTGGGGGGCCGGGGGGCTCCTGGGCTCGCAGCAACGGGAGGGAGAGGGATGGAAGGGGGTCGGGGAGCTTTGTGAGGCTCCCTGCCTCGCCAGCCCTCCCTGGCCGTGCAGGGGCGGGGGGAGATGGGCGAGTTGGGAAGTGGGGTTGTGCTTCCAAGCGGCTGACAGGTGCTTCGGCACGGCAACGTTTTCTCCCTTTTGCAGGGGAAATGGGCAGAAGCGGCTATTTTAGCAATAATGGCTGAAGCACCTTCAGTCCGGCTGCTGGGACAGAAACGCCAAAGAAAAGCTGGAAAGGGATCTGTAAGCATAATGCTTTCCTTCTGGAGCTGGGCAAAGGCTTGGGACCCAAAAGATTATTTTCTTATTTGCTCGCTTATTTATTCCCCGTTAACCTGCATTAGATGATATATCAGTGCAATAATCTATGGGTTTTGCTTTATAGATGTTCCAGAGCAGTCCCAGGTGCGCTGACCCCGCTGCTGCAGTGGATCCCTGTCAGCCTGCGGCACCCTGCTCTTGCTTGTGGCTGGGGCTGGATTCCCCTGAGTACTTGGCACTAGAAGACTTTTTTAGGCTAGGCAATGTTTTCAGAAATGTTTTCATTAAAACTGTAGCACTGCAGTATCCGCACTCAGGAGAGCAATGAAAATTTGCTGGATATTAATGTTTCACTGGTAAGTACCTTCATGAGTGAATGTTACTTGTGAAAACCCAGGCACTTAAGCTGCTCCATGGGAGGATGCAGGTGCTAAACTCTTTGTCTGCTGGGTTCTCTGAACATCTATGAGTCTGGCCTAGCTTACAAAATTATTTCCGTTAACACCATCTCGTATCTCTCAGTCGAATATTCACCAGACAAGTAATGGTTTAATCTTCTAAAACTTTAGGATACAAGACTAAAGTTTTGAAGGATGCAAGGAAGCCAAATAGTTAACACTAGTAGAATGAAATTCCAGATGGCTATACAGTTTCTAGACTACATGTCATAGAGCTAAGCTAGACCTTTCTCATTTCCTACTAATAATCGTTAAGAAGTATTTGTCTTCTAATTATCCTATTACCTCTGAATAATGAATTGAATCTTTGTTTTTCCTAAAACAGTAATTTTATACCTTACATAGCTTAAACCAGGACATGGGCTGAGCAAACATCACTTATGCTGCAAGAACAACTTGAACTTTGCACTTACAAGTGCATAAACTTTGCTTTCAGGCAGCAGTTAGTGGTGGCTAGAGCAAGACAGAACGAAATAGAAGACCTGGGAAGGTAAGGCTGCCTCTGATGAAGAGGAGGGAAAAGCCAATTTATGGTTCTGACATTTTCACATGTTCACATGTGAAGCTCTGGTACAAAGGCTGAAAGGATCTTGAGCATTTGGGACTCTCTGTAGGTGACCTCTGCCTCTCCCTGGTCTAACTACTCAGCACATTGATCAGCCAGGGCTGAAGGTTCAAGATACTGCCATGTAAAAGGAAAGGCAAAGCCTTAGAGCTTTCAGTGGAACAAACTGCAGCTCATCTTTGCCTCCTCGGCCAAGTAGGAGGTGCATATCCTCTTCATCTTAAAGATTTCTTATTGGACTTCAGCCTCTGTGCATTCTGCTTCATAGATACATCAAGTGATGGATGGTACCTAGTGCTAGGACCCTTGCAGAACTGAGACCTGACCACTTTGTAGTGTTGTAGTATAAAATTTAGGAATACTATAGTCAAAATCTTCCATATCTGCTAGTGGGCCAAATGTTTGGTGTTTCTGTCAATGTGAATTCTGAACTAGAAAAGAGAAACGTGAGACTCTTACTTCACTTGTTTAACTTCAGTTGTTAAAAGGCCACTTTTAACAACTTCTTCTGGTATAAGAAATGCAGGTCCAGGTTTCCCCTTTCTGCTCTCCCACTAGACAACAGTAGCTTCTGCAACTGCAGTAGCAACTGCATCTCTGGATGAGAATCAAACTCTGCATCTCTGTTCAAGACACTTTCCCTTCTGTTCGTCTGCCTGAGATTCTTGCATTAGCTAAAACAGTCATGATACAGTCATCACACTTCTTTTAAAACAGCCTGCACTAGTTTATCTTCATTCCACTAGGAAGCAGTTAAAGCTAAAACAAAAAGGCTTCAGTAGGTGAAATAGAAATGATGGTGTCAGGGCATGATTTAAGTTAAACTGGTGCGATGACCATTTTCATTAGCCCGGGATTGAGAGTGCAAAAGCTGGCTGTTAGACAGGAAACTTAATTAAACATCTGCTCTCTGAGGTTAGGGGTACTGAAATTTTGAAAACTATTTTTTATGAGTAGCTTTGATGTGAAGAAAGAGACTCCAAACATAGGCTATATCTTTTACCAGGTTAAAAATCGGTTGTCTGCCTGTTAATAGCCACATGAAAACCAAACCTCACAGCTCTTCAGGCACTTCATCTGGACATGTAAAAGCACTGAAGACAACCATGTTTAGCCTAACACATGCGTAGAGTGAGGCCTGGAGTATGTGCATGCTCACCCCAATGCAGGCATGCAGCCTCCTGCAGCTTCCATGCACCAGGGGGCCACGTAACTCATGCTTCCCTTCACGTGCTCTCATGCAGGCAGCGTGCCCCATCTTTCCAACTGTAATAAAAGAAGCTTCCCCTGGTATCCCCCTGTGTTCAGTGAGAACACATAGAGGCAAAAAAGGAGGAACCTCTGGGAACCTGTGGTGTGAGAGGTGTTCAGAAAATCCCATGCAATAGCGAGGTGGGCTTTGGTGATGTGGTGTCACCGTGAGTACAGGGCATGCTCAGGGTGAATCGTGTAGCAGGATGTGTACGCCACTGAGCATCTCTGAATGTCCAGAATTTTATAGGGGAGAAAATATCCTCAGAGTGACTCCTCCGGCTATGTGCACTGTCAGATTTGCTACTTGGGGAAACGGATGATCATTCCTTTTTACTTTGCTTCATTTCATTATTCCTCCTGAAAGGAAGAGAGTTGTTATATGAAAGGTATTTTTTATTGTGGTGCTAAAGTGGCAGTTGTTCAGGCAGGTTCACATCACAGCTTTAGAAAGGTAGCAATTTGTGGAATAGTATTAGCCCAGCTGTATAAAATAAGGCCTTCAAATAGCAGTCAGTCTGGAAACAGAAAGAGACAAAGCCAAGGTACACATTACTCTCACAATTCATGTATATTTGAGAGGCTGAATTATAAATAAGCAGTTTAAACAACTCTTCAAGAAAAAAAAGCAAGCTTCCGTAACTATTTTAAAACTAGGTTAGCTTTCATCTTTTCATTTTTATTTCTTTTATTTTCTTTATGCCATGCCACCTCTCAAAGGCTACTGTGCACACACTGCTCTAGTTCTTTCTTTTTTCACTACTCTGACGCCTCTTTAGTTGACTGATAAGTAGTTATTGAAGAATTGTCACACAAGCTGTAGTTGCAATTGTCTGTTGTCATTAATTGTTTTTAAATTATTCATCATATAGTAATGTGTTACATCATTTTATTTTCTGTTTAACATGCAAGAATACAAAACTTAAAAATCCCTTTGTCATTTAGACTGTGGGCTGTTCAGTACAAGGACTCTCCGCACCCTTCTGCAAATCACATTTTTACATGCTTGGAGATACGTATTGTTTATTATTATTTTCGCTTGCAATACAAAAATCATCTCCATAGACCACAGGAAATTTTAAGCTTTAGAAGTCATCTGTTTATGAAACATCTTTTAAAAATATCTTTGCTGCTACTGACTTAAGTTCTGAAAAGCCTGCCTTTAGCTTATGATTTGTCTCTAGTAATAACTTTAGCAAAATCTAGGTAAAATAGAAGTAAAACACATTCTTAATAATAATAAAAAGGCTTATTCCAAACTGTGGGAATGAAGATTGGTTTTGTTTAAAATAACTCATGGCTCAAGTAAAATCAGGGAGAAAAGCTCTCTTTGGCGAGATCAATTTCTCTGTCCCTTTAAGCTCAGAGGAGGCTAATGCATATATTCCAACTCAGCAACAATTCCCTTTATGCCTATTAATGCATCATTAAAGAGAGAGAGAAATACATGCTACTTTTTTTTTTTATACAACATGTACAAGTTGTGCTGGTTTAACTCACTTTTCTTCTATACGCCTTTTGCAAAACTGATGGAGGTTTTGCAAACGTAAACTTCAGAGAAGTGTTATTACCATTTTAGCCACAGAAGTTAAATAATATTAAAAATCGTGTAGTGAAACCTTTGGAGAGGGAGAAGGAGAAGCTCAAACCATGACCTGTGCACATGGGCTCATTCTGAGGAAAAATAATTGTGTATTCAAAGCACAGTATTTTGTGCTTGTAATTACAGGACACAAGAGTGATTATAAATGGATTTTCATGCATGTATTTTCACCCCAATTTTAGTTGCCCAGGGGAAATTTAATTTTAATAATAGCTCACAAGCTTATTTGATGTTACTGCATTTTTGCTTGAAAAGAGGTGACAAAGCATGTTTGTGTGTATATATGCATGGGCATGTACATAATAGCATGGAACATTTAAATGGATTATTTTCTATGAGCATAGTATTAACAGTATACCTCATTCTTTCCCTTTGCAAACCAAAGGATGCACTTTGGTTTTTGTTTTTGCATTATTGTTGTGTTACAAAACTGAATGAAGTATTTCTTAAACTCGTGCTTAGCTCTATTCGGATGGAATCTGAAATTCAGTTGAAAGTACAGATCAGTGTTAACTTTTGCCTTTATTGTTTATAATTACTTTGTTTTATTTGTTACTCAAGTTGCTCTGGATACATTTGTGTTTACAGTAAATTTCAATAAAAGAATCATCAACTTTCATGGGTTTTATGAAAAAAACAAAAATAAACACTGTTTCATATTGTTTGACATTTTAAATTAGTATATCTCATGCTTTCACAGTTTTTTTATATTGCTGGAGGAAAAAGAAGGAACCGCCTGTTCCCCCAGACAAAAACACAACTTTCCTCTCTCTTCAGTTCTCACAGGATTCCTCAACTGTTACAGTATTAAACATTGAACTAAATTTAATAAGTGAAACTGAAAAAAAATAATCTTCTCAACCCTATAGGAAGATAAGGAAAAATAAAGGCTCTTATTGTCAAGTATTATTAGTATTATAGCTCAAACCAATATTTAATTCCATTCTTTAACTTTCTTTTCAACTTCCATAATAGGAATTGTATGGTTTCATATTTGTTTTTCTTTAAATTATTTGTAAAACAACATAGGTTATTTTCAGAATGATGCATCTGAAATAAAAAATGTTTTAGAAAGACGTTTTTCTTACTTAAATACTCATGATGACATTATTAATGTATAGTAAGACCATCTTTTGGATAGTTGGTAGTTATAAGTAATCTCCCACAAAGACAAGCCCTTAAAATAATAATAAAAAAATCCATCTTCTACAGTTTTTCCATCATCAAACATGTAAAATGCTTTGTATCACAACTGAACCTTTTTTTTCTTTCTTTTTTTAATTTTTGCATTTGTATTGGAGAAGCAAATGAAATATATGTTGAAATGAAGATTGCAAAGTCAAATCTGAAAGTTTAGGGATTCACAGTAATGTGTGTGAAAGCCTGCATTTCTCTCTACAGTTTATAGAATTAGAATTACCACCAGCCAGCTGATCCTATAATGTAATGATTTGCAGACTAAGACATCATGCGTCGTAGGGGATAATCTCCAAAACTCACTGAGCATGCACCTCTAGATATAAAAGCTTTGGTGGAATGCTTTCCAGAATGCATCTTCAAACTTTTCCTACTTTTTTACCCTTCCTTTGTTTCATCACTACTATGTAGTTTGTGAAGAACAAATCTTTTGCAATGACATATACATGCAGGTGCATGGTGTCCTGTTGCTCTCCTTTCTTTTGAACTTATTGGTCAGGCTCAATCAAGCTTGGCAAAGGAACTGAATCCTTAAAGCTTCACAAAAATGGCTTGGTAGAGAAGTCTTTTACTGGTTGTTACTGAAGGTGCCCCTTACTGCACGCCAGCGACTCTGTACAACACAGCACCTGCATTAATGCCCAGTTTATGCTTGACACAATCAGAACTTAAACCTACTGGATTTAAAGACATCAATCTATAAGAAAATTTTGCTAGTTCTGGTGTTCAAACCCCTTTGCTTCCCCAACATCACCCTTCCCTACATTATTATAGAATTCTCTCCACCTCTTAGCAAGTACTTCTGTTACAGTACCAGGTAAGCAATGGATTATTTTGCTGTCCTTTTTTAAATTAAAGACCCAGTAAGGCCTTTAAAGTCATTCATATAAGTTTGATAATTTCATAGTTTAAAAAACTGCACAAATTACAATTTGTAACATTGAAAGTTTCATGAATTGCACATTCCCAAGTGTTCTGTCTTTAGATCTAATTACTGGAGATGATTACATTCAGTAAGTTCTGCAATCACAGAGGCTGCTGATATAGTTTTCTGTCTGCTTTTAATGAAAAAAAGTTACATGGCTCAGAAATTATGATTTAGACTATGAGCTATCAGAGCAGAGGAAAAGAAAACCACCACTAACAACAACAACAAAAAAACCCATCAGAGTATGCAGTCTTTGGGCTAAAACTTGAGCTGGAAAACAGACAAATGAAAGTTATTTTTCTATGTTTGCATACAGGGCCTAGAGACCCTCAATAAACTGGGACCCCCACATGTAGGCACAGCGTAAATGCTTAAAGCATTACTATCCCTAGAACTGCACATCCTCCAGTGACCAGGAAAGAAGGGAAGAGAGAGGATCCTGAAGTCATACAGCAGGTCAGTAACTGAGCTGGGAATGAAATACAAAGCTCCTGGTTCTCTCTCTTATTCCCTTTTCCATTTGCTCCACATTGCCTTTGTTCCCTAGTAAGATACTGGGTTTATAACAGAATAGGTGGTATGCTAGGTCCCTTTTATGGGTTCAAGAATTAGGTGTTCATTCATGTGAAAGCTTGATGCCTTATTCAGATGTTATTGCCAGACCTTGCCATACCGATGTCATTAGGGCAACTGCAGCAAGCAGGGTGCTAATGGTAGCAGATCTAACATGAATGAAATGGACACATTTTGTAATTTTGATAACAAAAGTTGGTTGTGCTACTTTAGTTTACTATTTGTTGGAAGAAGATAAGAAACAAAGCAATTTCCCTGGCTATCCACAGTAGTGCCGGAGAGTTATTTCCGGCAGTCTTGTAAATAATGGACTTTTTACATTAGGTGGTTATAAGATAAAGAAGGTGATGAAGAAGATGAAGAAGGTGAGAGCATAGGTGCTGCCAAGATCTCTTCTATGATACTGGTGACAAGTAGATCAGGGATTGAATATTCCATGCCGAGCTACAAGATCCCTCCCCTGCCTGGGCATATGGTCCCATGGTCCCAGCTTCCCATTAAAATACCCTAACCACTAGTCTACCAGCAATTAATTTCACTTGTGATACCATTCTGTTTAATACACATAGCACATTTTGTTGGAGAAGGAACCATAGCCACTTCCAAAGCAGAACATCTCCAGCAAGAAGAACTAAGCAAACCTTGTCTCACGCTGCCCTACAGCTCAGTTCAGGGCTTAGAAACATGGTAGAAAACATGGCTCAAATCCTAATAATTCCATGAAAGCTAACCCTAACTAGAAAGTATTCCCTAATCATGACCCAAACAAAATTTCACGTAAACAGGGCCTTATGCTCCAAGGTGTCAGCCCTTACAAGCAAGCCTATTTAACTTGTTTGTAGAAAGGCTATCATAGACCATGAACCAGCAAAGCTCTAGCTGAAAAAAGTTAAAAGTCAGGTCTTGCTGTAGCAGTAAAACAGTTGTTGAAGACCTTTAAGAATATTACAGTAAATCAGCCATAAATTGGTTTGGTTGAACCAGCCACTCCTAACTTGGCCATCCTCACAGGACATTCAATTCTTAACTTCAAAGGTTTTCAGAATAAAACCTTCCTTTCCCCATCAGTAAAATTAAATGAGGCTTTAGCACAATTACTGACTCCTCAAGCAGATGCAGGCTGTAGAACAAGTGCAGTAATTTAATAAAAAGCTGTACCCTGGGTTTGCCTAAAAACAGCAGCAGCAGCAGAGAAAAAGAACAAGCAAATCAAGTTAATCTGCAGGCTGTAAGACTCGGGAAGTCTTTCCACAGTCCTACCTAGCCAAGCAGGTAAGTAGGATAGTAGTGAACCAGTTTGTCAAAGGACCTGAGCCGACTGGACACTTAACTGCTCTGAAAAAAATGGCAATTAGTGTCACAGTGGAAACAAATGAATGTCCAGGACTTATGAAAATTTAGCCCTTACCATACACTAAAAGCACACTGTCCAGTTCTTTTCCTCAGTTCTTAACTGCAGTTCAGCCCCCATCACTATTTTCTGCAAAATAGCTATCAGCTGAGAAAGCAATCTAGGTGTTGACGTTGAAATGAGCTTTGTTCCGCTAGCTGTTTGATTTCTGAAACTTAAATAATTAGAGTTCTTTATCCTCATGTCATCTTTTGTCTTCCTTTTATTACAAGGCTCCAGTTAAATTTCTTTTTCCTGACAGATTTGAGAACAGATGTTTATTTGCACATTCACAATTTTCATGGACTATTGGGATGAATTCTAGATTTTTTATTCAAGAAATTAGGTTTTGTTTCACACCACTAACTTCTACATAAGGATCGTTCAAAGAACTGGGAACCGGTTATTCCCTAAAGATAAAGCTATCATACCATTCACTCTTTTATGTCTGATATTCTGTTGGGGTTTCATTTTCCCCTGTATCAGATGGAAATCAATCATTTACGATTGCTTTTTTTTTTTTTTTTTAATTAAGGAGAGGAATAATTGAGATGCATTGTAGTCACAATGTTAGATTCCTTGCCACCACTCCATCAAACGCTAGCTGGGGCCTTTGGAGAGACCCCCTGACACGCAACCTGCAGCCACCTTAAGCAGTCACATTTCTCTCTGTAAATTAAATTTCTTTAAAAAGTCCCATTTTATCCTCAGGCTGAATTTCTGTTACGGTAAATTCTGATCTACAGAGATATCTACTTCCCATTGAAGTTGATCAGAGCTGCAGGTGACCAGAGCCTTTATAGCTCAGACCCCTAGGCTGCATTTCTCCCAGAGTATGAACGTTATTAATATTAGCTAGCTGTCTTTGGGTAAAAGCCTAGTGAAAAACACTTTTGGGCCTTTCACAGAAGTGACATGGCTGATTATGGAACAGGCTTCCAATTCTCTTCCTCAAAGTCTTTTGCCTGGAGTTTATTTTAAAACCTTATTTATTTATTTATTCCTAGCGATGCTGTAAGGAGTAAACATGTAAGAATAGGTTCTCAGAACTTTTTTACTTTTTCAATTAAGCAGAACTGAATGAGATAAAGGAAGGCAAAAAAATCCTTTCTCCAGTGCTTTTTTTTCTTCTCAGTTGGGATTAATTTTTCTTTAGAAAAATGGAGAAGGTTATATCTGCTTTTGCAAAAGAAAATATCAAGCACACCTGAGGTCTTAAACAAACAGTTCCTGCTGTTAAACAAATCCATGGTGAATTGTAGATGGAAGAAAGTCCCTGGAGCAGAGGCAAAACTTCAGTAGTAGTTCACTGGGTCTGTATCTAGGCTCTTGCTTTGGTTCTAATGGGATTTCTTTGACAGGTTGACTTGGGCTTTTGATAGAAGCAAAATTTAATGAGAATATGTTCACCGCTTCCTTTGCTGCCTTCATTCATACGATTGGTTTCCAGGTTTGGTGGATATATTGCTCTTTAGAGTCTGCATTGCACATATCACAACTGTAATTTAATTTCTTTAGTCTTTTGTGCTGCAATACTCAGATTACACTATGAAAAGCTACTCTACTTTGATGTGTACCTGACAGATATTAATTTGCCAGGAACTTGGGTTCAAATTAAAGAATACCATTTTGCTGTTATGCTTTATGATTGTATTAGTTTTACGTCTGTGGTTTTGGTAGCAAGGGTCTACAGGGTGACTTCTGTGAGTAGAGGCCAGCAGATGCCCCATGTCAGATCAGAGCCAGCTCCAGCCGGCTCCAAAAGGGACCTTCCACTGGCCAGAGCTGAACCAGTAAGTAATGCTGGTTGGGCCTCTGGGAGAGTAGGAAGAGGAAAACAAACTGCTGCACAACAGCTCCTGGGAGAGAGGAGTGAGAAACTGCAGCCCGCAAGGTGATTGCAGCAGGAGGGCAGGAG